CTCACTCACTCAACCAATACATATCGCAGTTTCGGTCCCTGAATCACATTATTTTGAAATACAGTCTATTTGCCAATACACTCCCAACAAAACATTATAATCTTATAACTGCGACAAAATAATTAACAGTAACAGCAAACAAAAATAATGTCAATAATACCTTAGTATGGTCCTCGAACTTATAACTTCAAGCATGACTGTTTCACAGATACCTCTGCATTACAATCACTAATTTGCAATTTCATCTCTGGTTTGTCCATTTCATACCTATCATCTGCATTGCCCTATCGCAACTTTCCGAACAAGCACCATGGTGTTGTAGACGTAGCTGCATCATCTGTAGTCCATGTTTGTTTTTGTACAGCTGTCACATCGATGTTACCCAACCTACCAACCTCGGACATTTCACATGGATCTCGGTGAATTAGGGGGAGCTTCAGAGTCATAGATTGTTAACACTGTGAGAATTGCATGATGGGAATGGGATGATATCTAATATTTTTTTAAATTAGAGATTAGAAATTCACTTTTTTGACGATTTGCACTGTGTGTTTTGAAAAAATATATCACTTGATTTGAAACTGTGTTTAAAATTAGGGAGTCGAAGGGGTTTTTTTCATCATTTGAATCTTGGGATCCCTAATATTTTGATCTCATTTGGGTTACAGGAACACTGGGCTCAATTGTTTTGCACAATAAAATATATTCTTGGTGTGTTAAGTATTTTAAGCACTGACATCTTTTTAGAATTGATATTTGTTGAATTATGATTGAACATTTTTATTTTCATCTTTTCTTAAAAATAATATTTCATTATTTCTCACCAATTGGTTATTTTGATTATGTATGAAAATGTTTTCAAGCAAATTTTGGGTTTTCTTTCCATAATGAAATGCTTCACACCAAAATTCCTCTGGTATTTTAGTATTTATTCAAGATATCCATAACAAAATATGAGTGCACCTTTATCTTTTTACATTTAGAACTTCCTGATTATGTTTGTTTTGAAGAAACAAAAATTAGATGTAATTGTCTGAATGCATTGCTCATACTGAGGTTCCCCAGACCTTCTTGCAGAGAGGTATTGTATCAGAGGAAGAGATATATAGTCTTTATGAGAGATTTTATCTTCAAAATGATTTGTATTTTGTATTAAGGTAAATTTTGTGTATCACTTTCTCTAAAGGTCCCATGCAACTTTGTTGAACAGCTGCCCATTCAACACAAGCTACCAGGCAGCACGCTTTCACCATTTCAGCTCCAGGGCAGCTTGTGTGGTACTTTAGTGGCACTAGTGGCAGCATAGCTTGAGTCAGAGGTGGACGTTTCGACTGATGGCATAACAATTACTTCAGTTCCAAAGGCTGATTTATCTCTGGCAAATAGTCTAATTTGTATGATGCAAATGTAGTCATCCATCAAGAATATATAGTCCACTTTCCACAAGGCAGATATAGTCCACTTTCCACAAGGCAGAGATAGTCCAGTTTCCACAAGGCAGATATAGTCCACTTTCCACAAGGCAGAGATAGTCCAGTTTCCACAAGGCAGATATAGTCCACTTTCCACAAGGCAGAGATAGTCCAGTTTCCACAAGGCAGATATAGTCCAGTTTCCACTAGTACAGTTTCCATAAGGCAGATATAGTCCAGTTTCCTTAAGGCAAAATAGTCCAGTTTCCATAAGGCAGAGATAGTACAGTTTACATAGTACAGTTTCCATAATTCAGAATAGTCCAGTTTAGATAATTTAGATTAGTCCAGTTTCCATAAGGCAGATATAGCACAGTTTCCATAATTCAGAATAGTCCAGTTTCCATAAGGCAGATATAGTACAGTTTCCATAAGGCAGATATAGTCCAGTTTCCATAGGGCAGAGATAGTCCAGTTTCCATAGGGCAGAGATAGTCCAGTTTCCTAAGGCAGAGGTAGTCCAGTTTCCATAATTCAGAATAGTCAAGTTTCCATAAGGCAGATATAGTACAGTTTCCATAAGGCAGATATAGTCCAGTTTCCATAAGGCAGATATAGTCCAGTTTCCTAAGGCAAGAGTTTTCATAGTAGTCCAGTTTCCATAAGGCAGATATAGTACAGTTTCCATAAGGCAGATATAGTACAGTTTCCATAAGGCAGAATAGTCCAGTTTCCATAAGGCAGATATAGTACAGTTTCCATAAGGCAGAATAGTCCAGTTTCCATAAGGCAGATATAGTCCAGTTTCCATAAGGCAGATATAGTCCAGTTTCCATAAGGCAGAATAGTCCAGTTTCCATAATTAGTCCAGATAGAATAGTCCAGTTTCCATAGTCCAGTTTCCATAATTCCAGGCAGATATAGTACAGTTTCCATAAGGCAGATATAGTCCAGTTTCCATAAGGCAGAGATAGTCCAGTTTCCTAAGGCAGAGTTTCCATAATTCAGAATAGTCCAGTTTCCATAAGGCAGATATAGCACAGTTTCCATAATTCAGAATAGTCCAGTTTCCATAAGGCAGATATAGTACAGTTTCCATAAGGCAGATATAGTCCAGTTTCCTAAGGCAGAGGTAGTCCAGTTTCCATAATTCAGAATAGTCCAGTTTCCATAAGGCAGATATAGCACAGTTTCCATAATTCAGAATAGTCCAGTTTCCATAAGGCAGATATAGTACCAGTTTCCAGAGATAATTCCTAGGCAGAGGTAGTCCAGTTTCCATAATTCAGAATAGTCCAGTTTCCATAAGGCAGATATAGTACAGTTTCCATAAGGATATAGTCCAGTAGTACCAGTTTCCAGAATTCCAGATAAGGCAGATATAGTCCAGTTTCCATAAGGCAGATATAGTACAGTTTCCAAAAGGCAGAATAGTCCAGTTTCCATAAGGCAGATATAGTACAGTTTCCATAAGGCAGAATAGTCCAGTTTCCATAAGGCAGATATAGTACAGTTTCCTAAGGCAGAGGTAGTCCAGTTTCCATAATTCAGAATAGTAGTTTCCATAAGGCAGATATAGTACAGTTTCCATAAGGCAGATATAGTACAGTTTCCATAAGGCAGAGGTAGAGGTAGTCCAGTTTCCATAAGGCAGATATAGTCCAGTTTCCATAAGGCAGAGATAGTCCAGTTTCCATAAGGCAGAGATAGTCAAGTTTCCATAATTCAGAATAGTCCAGTTTCCATAATTCAGAATAGTCCAGTTTCCATAATTCAGAATAGTCCAGTTTCTATCAGGTAGAGATAGTCCAGTTTCTATCAGGTAGATATGGACGAGTTTCTGTCTGGTAAGTACAGTCCAGTTTCAGCCAGGCAAAGTTAGTCGAGTTCTATTTGGCAACATTTCCATTTAGAAATAGTGTCCATTTTCTATCAGGAAATCCCTTTAAGGCAAGTGTAGCCTAGTTTCTGTCATAGTTCAGAGGAATATTGTCTTACGAATGACGATTCTTGGTAAGAATCTTGGTGCTCAACATCCTCTGCAGGTCGTAAGAGGCAACCTTATGGCAGGGTATGAAATTTCAGCCAGACCACGGGGCTGGTTAGATGTAAAACTTGCCAGCCTTTACCAAACCTTACCTGCCCACAAAAAATACTAATATGCATGTCTAAAGTTGAACCCCACCGTCGGGCAGGTGAATTTGAGTGTCAGGCAGTCTGTGTTGAAAATAACCTGTCCCGGGCGGTCGGCCAGGCAGGTATTTCGAACGCTGCTAATGGATGGGGTGATCAGTCGTGGTGCCCTGGTTACTTGTGTGCCATCATACTATGAGGTTTGATCATCACAGTATTGATCACAATTATATTGTGCACACTGAGAATGTTACTGACAACACAGAAGTGTAGTTGTATTCACTGTTTCATCTGTTGGTTGGTTGAGTGAGTGAGTTTAGTTTTATGCCGCACTCAGCAATATTCCAGCTATATGGCGCCGGTCTGTAAATAATAGAGTCTGGACCAGACAGTCCAGAGCAGCGATCTACGCAAATGGGATACGATGACATGTTTCCACCAAGTCATCGAGTTTGACCACCCGATCCCGTTAGTTGCCTTTTACGACAAGCATGGGAACCTGAAGACCAATTCTAACCCGGATCTTCACAGGTCAATTCAGGATATGACTGCAAAGGTGTTGTACACTATCCAAGTCCCAGTATGAACATGCCGATTCCCCCTCAGGACAGGCCACCCATTACCTATCCCGGTCGTAAGATGTGTCCCAAGTGAAACGGCTGGTCAGGCTCATGACTCATTGATTGGGTATCGTTGCCTCACGTGGACTGGGATCTGTGGTCAAATATTGATGAGCTTGTCTGGACCACCTTTCACTTGTTTACAGTCCGCTGTTATATAGCTGTAATATTGTTGAATGTGACGATAAACAACATCAAAGACACATAACATTGACACGTGGATCTGAATGTTTCACATCAGCTATTGGCTATATGATCAATGAGTGAGTGACTAGTTCACTTTTACGCCGCCTTTAGTAATATTCCAGCAATATTACGGCGGGGGACGCCAGAAATAGGCTCACACATTGTCCCATAAGTGGGGAATCCAACCCAGGTCTTCAGGCTGACTAGCAAAGGCTTTAATCACTTGGCTGCCTCAACGCCCTATGCTTTCAACTTGCTTTAGCCTGCTTAGAATCACTGTCACATGTAAGATCCTTGTCATAGTGATACTGTCTCTATGAGCTCAGATGCAAGTCTGCCAAGTGAGCATATCTACTCTGTCCTTCAATATGTTATAATTTCATGAATTTTCATTTTAAAATCATTTTTCTTCTTCAATTATCAAACCTTAACATAGATCATGACACATTTATTTGTTTGATTTCAATTTATTTAAGTTCATTTGGACCTTTCGTTAATTTGGATTTTATTGGTGTTAAAAGTTGACATATTTGATATGGGGATAAATAATATTAAATACAAATAATCTGTATGTATTGAAACTTTTTCCTTTAATAACTTATCTCAACTGTCAAGTCTTGTAATAATAAACCTTTTTTTTTCATTTCAGACACATTTATAATAAGGACTCTAGCCTTTTTGGAACAAGTCACCGGAGGGTACCTGGAAATGGAGCTGCACTGTTCCAAACAAAGACTGAAGGCGTATTCCAAAGTTTCCATATTCCTAAGTTAACTCTTTACACCACTTACCGAATGTTTCTTGTATTCATCTGAGGTTTTTGTGTAACTGAGACTGAATATTTTCTGCAAGTCAATCCCATTTTGTCAAAACGTTCAGCTCCTGGAACGTCACAAGTGAGTCATGTGAGTCATGTGATATCCGAAACTGCCTTGCGTTTTGTGGGATTTGTATGATTCTGTTGTGGCAAAATGTTTCCATGGGACACAACCGGAAGTGTAAATGTCGGCAAGAGGAAGACAGTGCAGAGTTTTGTTGATGAATATGCATGGTGGATTGTGATACTAACACAATAAACAAAAAAAACCCTTTTTATATGCCTGATGGAAGACTGTCTATCTATACATGACGTTTACACTGAATGTTTATACCTTGTTACCTTGACCTTGGATCTGGGTCAAGGTCATGAGGAAAATAACAGCTGGTGACAATTTCAGTGGAATGACCTGAATCGGTTGATGTCAAGGTCATTTGTTTCTTGGCTTTCCTACTTTCATCTGACAAGGATCAAAGGAGGTCAGATTTCAATGTCATCCAAACGACCTTGGATGTTTGTGCCTATTTGTTTACTCTTCAGTGAAAGCATGAGAGAAGACCAGCCTGTTGTGTAACATTTTTCGACTCCCATGAACAAAATCGCCACAAACTAAAACATGACTTGCCGAAAATTGTTTGGAAGGGATACGTCTGTGGTGATAGACACACAAAACCATACACATAGCCTTCCTGGATTCACCACCATGACATGGAAGACAACTCTAGTTATTTTATACTTGAACTGTTCAGAGTTATGTCCCCTTAAAATCAATGGCTACATTCTACCTGGCAATTTGCTGTCATCATTTCTGTATTTGGTCAGGTCATTGACAGACCGATACTAATGGGGAATTATGCAATGTGTCAGACGTAATGAGACTTGCAAGGTTTTAAAGTTCAAAGCATTCCTAATACCATCGTCAATACTTCATTGGTTGGTACACACTATATTCCTCCTTTGCAGTGAATACATGTGTCAACTATGCATATGCATTGTTGTGTTTCTATTTTCCAGTCAAACAGCAAGTTTTTAGATTGTAACGACACCGTTTCTAGTTTCATGTGTAGCTGTCAACATGCTGCTTTCATAAAACCTCAAAGCAATCAGGCAGGGGTAGCTCGGCCCTTCTTCTACGGTGCCACAGAGTTGTGTTCTTTTGGCACACCAGATATCTATGATGGTGGGTTCAAATCCCATTTTGCTGTGATTGTGTCTAGGTTTCTCTGTGGCATCTCTTTAGCTTTCCGCTGATGTGCCGTGAAGTTACTAGAAAACTGTTCAGAAACTAACTCGCTCATAAAGCTGACTAAATGTAACACAACACTGTACATTGTTATCTATTCACGGTTGAATGAGGAACATAGTGTGTACAAACAATATTGACGATATCCTCATATACTTGTGTGAAGAATTGTTTGGACGGAATTGTCACTCCATGGCAAATTCAACCTTTTAGAAACATGGAGGGAAATTCTGTTGAATCTTAAATTGAACACTTTAGTAACACTTAAGTACAGCTAAATATGAAAAACATTCACTGAACTTAGAAACAGTAGAAATTAAATATGTCACGTATGCTACTAATAAGTTCAGGAATACCAAGTCTTTTCATGTTTCTTTAGTCAATATGAAAGAATTCCATATCCTCAACTTATTGTGAGTAGTGTAGTTTCTGTCACCTATAGCTGCAAATTTTGATTTGTTGCACAAAAAATAATTGGATATTACAGCTTGTTCAGCTTGACCTGAGCTACTCTACATAAGCATGACCCGGGAGGTCAAATGGCACAAACGACAGGTTGAGTTAACTTCATTAAATAGGGGAGCAGAGAATGTTATTAATGCTGCGTTCGTGAGAAGCATGCATACATGGATTCGTTACAGAACAGAAACTTGTCCCGGAAAACAACACTTATGGAATAACAATCATTTCATGTTTTAATTGAATTGTTTATACAATCATATACTATATAGTTTGATTTGCTAACTTTGCAACGTACAGACGTCAGTTACTTTCACAATCCGATTCACTCTCGCTGTCACTCTCTACACCCAGTTCAACTATCACTTTTTCTATTTCATGTTCAACTGCAATGTTTCTGTCCCAGTAGTCGCCTAAAAGCCCGGATCGGAAACATTAAACCATCTGTAGCTTCTTTTGAAAGAAAGTTAGGATATTGCTAACAATTTCTCGACACTGAGATGTCAAACGGCGACCCTGTCTCGACTGTTCGGACATGATGACAATCAATTGACAAAGGTGCACCCCTTCACAATAATAGACCCAACCAGTTGTGACACGATCACGCAATGCATTAGTATTAAATAACATTTGTGAAGTCATTCCATTGTCTGCTCGCTCCATTACTTTTCAGGAATGGAGCGATGTGTACCAGTTTCAAATTAAAAACTTCATTTTGACTTTTTGATATATAACTTTGATAACAGAAATATTCCCAATACTTGAATGTAATTTAAGTAGGGTAATATCCTCGTAACTCTCCATTCCTTAAAATCAATGTGCCTCGGCCCCTCCGGGGCCTCGGCTCCATTATTTGTTCCTCAGACATTACCCTCTACGTCACTTGATCAGGTCAAGCTGAACAACCTGTAGTGTTAATGATAACTAGAAAACCATAGATTTAGTTGCAGTGACTGATAATGACATTGACACTTTGTTTGGTTAGAATAGTTAAAAATGTTGAAATGAATTCTGGAAACAGTATGCGAAACATTTACTCTTAAGGATGTCCGCTGATCTGCAATATTGACCTTTAATTGAGATTGATATTTTTATAATCTAACTTTCAGTTATAAAAACAGTAGGCGTTAGTGTTCATTCAATTGTCCCACACAGGCTTTTCATATGCTACGTCAAAATCACACTTCTGTGGTCGTGTAGGGAAATAACTCATCAAATTTTGCCTAAATCTATAATTAACAGTATATAACTCTTTAAATAATATTGTAACTTTTTTCAAATCACATGGACAAACATTCATCTGAAATGAAAGTAAAGTTTTTGATTAGTGTGAAATTTTTAAAAATGAATTGATATTGAAATATTTTCGCATTATGAATTTCCTGCAATTTCTAACATGCAGCTACATTCCATTGATGACTTCATACAGTGCTATAATGTCACAGTTCGGTGATGTCATAGTCACAACTCCCATTTGCATCTGCCTGTAGTGAAATGAAATTATCTCACGTTTTGTTCAATATTTTATGTGTATCTATGACGATTTTAACTCTGTGCAACTCATCAGCGATAGATTGATTTAGAAAAAAAAAATTATAAATCATGCTTGATTCATGTCAGTTGGGCATAAGCAACAACTTTACCAGCAGACATCCTTAATATAAAATGTCAATGCCGGAGAAGAAGCAGTCCCAATGTTTGGTAAAACAGATTCCATCCGGCATAAGACAAGTTAGTGGTACAAATTTTACAATCGGATCATAAAACAAGTTGGCAGTGCAAATTATACAATTGGATCAATGAAAATTATTGATAACACGGAGAATAAGCAGTCCCATTTTTTGAAAAATTAGATGTGATCCAACATAAAAGCAAGTTAGCTTTCAAAATTATACAATTGTATCTCTTATAATTATAAATAACACCAGACATGAATCTGACAGGTTAATACATTATAGGCAGTTAAACAAAAAGATGTTACTTGTTCTTTCCCTGCACATTTCTGGTGTCCCCTGCCGTGATATTGCTGGAATATTGCTAAAAGCGGCGTAAAACTAAACTCAGTCAGTCTTTCCCTGCAAGGCACAGGCCATGAAGGGAATAAAACAAGGTCTGGTTGTCTTGTAGTCTGTTTGCTGTGTTTGAGTTGGGTACCCATGTACCACAGACAACTCAGATGCAGTGCAGTCCAACTAGATAATCCTTAAGATGTGCGTCTCGACGAAGACCTGGGTTTGATTCCCCCACATGGGTAAATTGTGTGAAGCCCATTTCTGGTGTCCCCTGCTGTGATATTGCTCGAATACTGTTAAAAGCAGCATAAAACTAAACTCACTCACTCACTCTTAAGATGTGACTGGGTGGTGGGGTAGCCTAGTGGTCAATGCGTTCGCTCGTCACGCTGAAAACACGGGTTCGATTCCCCACATGGGTACTATGTGTGAAGCCCATTTCTGGTGTCCCCCGCCGTGATATTGCTGGAATATTGCTAAAAGCGACGTAAAACTAAACTCACTCACTCACTTAAGATGTGACAAAAGTTTCATTAGTTATGTTTTCCATTTTTCCTAAACAAAGGTGAATTCATTATTTTTTTTAATTCTTTATGTTGAAATTTGGCATACCTACATTTGAAATTCAAAAGTGAGCTTATGTCTCGGACTACATTTAAATTGTAATTAATCAGGTAAATGTTGTTGTAGATGATAACACGGAAAACATATTGTTCCTTCTAATTGCACAAACATTTCTTCAAAAAGATTTTAATTATGACAGATGTGAAATATTAACATATAGTTAGTGTCAACATTTTGCAAATTCTTTAATTTTCATAATACATAACATCTTTGACATAATGGAGATGGAAAGTTAGCTTAAAATTACTCACAGTTGTATTACCAAATTTCTGAAAATGAGGGCAACACAGACTCAACAATTTATCTCAAGATTTAAAATTCAAAATTCAAAATTACGGACACTACTGCCACATAAAGGAGTTCATATTTAGCTCACCTGAATAAAAATCAAGTGAGAGTATGTCAAAATTCAAATTATGAACACTACTGCTACATATAGGAGTTCATATTTAGCTCACCTGAATAAAAATCAAGTGAGAGTATGTCAAAATTCAAATTACGGACACTACTGCCACATATAGGAGTTCATATTTAGCTCACCTGAATAAAAATCAAGTGAGAGTATGTCAAAATTCAAATTACGGACACTACTGCCACATATAGGAGTTCATATTTAGCTCACCTGAATAAAAATCAAGTGAGAGTATGTCAGTCTTATAGAAGGGATCGGCCTTCTCATTAGAATCCACTTGACCAGTTAAGCTGAAACATTACTTACTTGTTCCCATATGAATGTGACTGCCAAAGAGTATCTTGATATTTGTTATGTTTAGTTCATGGAGGGACAGCATTTATGTTCTTGTTTTCGTGATATTTTTCATTGGAAATGTTTTTCTCCATAAAAGGTTATAAACCTCAGAGTTTAACTTTTGTCTGGGACTGACATCCCTAACTCGCTCACTCACGCACACTTCAGTACAACATCAGGTGAGCAGTACTGAAAAATAAA